AACTTTTATAAGACCTCCCATTTGGAAAAGTTGTTCATCTCTCTTAAGATCATAAAATAAATTATGGTATTCACTATTGTTCCTTCTACTTTTATTTATTTGACGTATACCGAATCTTTTTCTTCTTATTTTTGATATAATATTAGGTATAATATTTGGTATAATATTCCAATGAAAGAATATCTTCATCGGATGATCGGATCTTTACTGCAAGATATTAATTCAGAAATTGGCAGATTTCCTGACAGATTTTACACGCGTCTATTGTGTCCTGCTCAAGTGCCAACAACCTGCGTCGATCGGCATTGATTATCAGAAAGCAGAAAATATGCTTCTTTTGTGCTCGTACCCTAATATTTTTTTACTCTTAATTTGATTCGCTTTACATGCACACAAGCATTCTACATTTTGAATAGATACCTTGTACATAGATTATTTCCTATAATTCGATCACTCAGAATATCTCAGAATATTTGTTTTTCATGAAACAAAAAAATGACGAAGGAAAAGGTTATTTGCTTTGAAGGATATAAAAATATTGTCATAACTGCAATTTTTTGCCTATTCTATCTTAGAAAGATTTCGCCAATATCAACAGTTTTTAAACATTTTTAAATAGATTGCCATATTTCCATTAACGTAATAATGTAGTTCACAAAAAAAAAGAAAAAAAAACAAATTCAATTATATAGCGTATTTGTATGACTTTAACCCAAGTAGCAAATAGAATGCGATATTTTTCGTGTCGATTTGCTTATGTATTCATTTTATAGATTTGGAAATTCTTTTCCACAATTAAATTTTGCATAAATACGTGCCACATGGAATTCGTGTCAAGAACGAGGAAAATTTTTTATTTTAAAAAATTTTACCATTTGCAACTTTAATATAGTGAGAACTATAAAGTCCAGAATTATAAAGTCGCATCAATATTTGCTTTATATAAAAATTTTGATCTATTTGATATTGCTAAATTAAAAGATTACATAAAGAAATAACATTGAGTTCTTAAAATTAGGCTTAGATAATAATGTGATACAAAAGTGTACGAAAATTTGTTCAATGTGTGCAGAAATATAAATGTATACATGTATATAGGAATGTATATATGTATACATTCCTGAATGTATTTATGTATGTTAGATGTGCATGTATGTGAACGCTTTCATAGGAGTTCGCTCGTCTCTCCAGCATTATCTTAAGATTTTAAGCATTATCATAAAAGAATCATATGTAACTGTGATTTTTTTAATGTTAATTTCATCTTACAATTAACATCTTATAGTCAATATATTCAACACCCCCCCCCCCACACACGTACACACAAAATTCAACATTATGTAGTTAAATTTTTTTTATTATCTATTACATTACTGCATTGATGAAAATATGTCATCTTATTAAAAAAAATTTTGATCTCGAAACAATGAGTTTATCAGAAATAGTGTATGCATGCGTGTGTATCACATGTAGATCCATTTTAAACTTCCTAAAGTTTTTGTTGCTTTTCATTCTAGAGAAAAATGTTTTAGACGAAAGTTGTATAGTCTGAAAAAGATAAATAATGGTAAAATCAATTTTCGAAAAAAATCAATTTTTCATTATTACGTGAAAGTAATCATTAATTTCTTAAATGGAATGTTCTACTTTTGAGAGTTGATTCTTATAGCTGACAGATATTTCCAAAATGTATAATTAAATCCTCTTCCGTTAAGAATTTACAGATTTATGAGTTTTTAAAGTTACGATAACGTTAACATTTTCCAAGATATATTAAGTAATAATAAAGACAGTGAGGCTAATTTACATTTCTATTTGTTTTTCTGTATATGTTTTTCTGTAATGTATATCTAAATGTATGTATGTAGAATGCAAGCGCATGTGCGTATGTGATTAGCGCGACTTCCCTTGTCTCTCACTCTCTGGATGTTTGAATTTATAAACGTTCAAATATCCATTTTCATTATTACATAGCTGAATCCTATATCAAAAATTGTCATGTACCATCTGTAACATAGTTGATGTAATGTTTTCAAAACCTGCTTAATACGATCTTTCATGTTGAGAGGTGTCATTGGTTCTTTTGCAAAGACCTTTCTTCTTGATATATCACCACAAAAAGAAATCAAGAGGCGTCAAGTCTAAGGAATGTGGAAATCCCCAAATTTTTTTACGATTTCCAATTTTTTAGGATTTCCAATGTCAGTTCATCATCGAGGATACAATCGAGGTGTCCAAATAATTTTTAGTAAGTCTATTAGTATAAGCAGATGCTCCGTCCTGTTGAAGTCACATATAACATCGGATTTTTAAGTCAACATTTTTGAAGAGGTTTGGCAGCTTGTTTGAAGAGAATTGGATATAAATGTATCTTATTTTAAACTGTATAGAGGCCAATGATAAAATTCTAATGGCGTTCCCTTTTATTTAAATTTTAGTTAAATTTTATTTAAATTTTTTATTTAAAGTTAATGTTGCATGATACGAATGGAACTTATTTATTTTTAATATTTGCCGCACCGTTGATTTCGGAATGTTATAAATACACAATCACATTGTCAAACTGATAAATGAGGATTCTGCCTAACTATTTCTAAATTACAATATTATTTTATTTGCTGCAATATTTTGTATTTATTTGGATCAACTTTGTCCCGTTTTCTTTTTATTTCCTAGCTTTGTAAATCAAATGTTTCATAGTTATCATATAGTTAGATGACATCTATTGAGAATTCTCGTTCGTATAGCTTTGCTGCAGTTTTGTAATTTTGATGACATCTATTGAGAATTCTCGTTCGTATAGCTTTGCTGCAGTTTTGTAATTTTCTGCGTAACGGCCAACGATCATTATCATGTCAATAATTTCAGACGGTGGATGAGGTATTGCAAAACATAGTAATGTCAAAAGAAAAACGAACATCTAAAAAGAAATATAAAACGGTTTTGTTTTGATAACACTATTTACAAGATCCACGATATCAAAATCTTCATCTTAAGTATTAAGCAGATTCAAAAAATAAAGAGTCAAGATGTTATTCCTATACTAAAGACAGTGATAGTAAGAGTGCGAGAATCGAAGTATGCCATCCATTCGACTCATGCTAATTAAGTATGTATGACGCTTATATTCTATATACATACATTTACATATAAATACATATAGAAATTTTACCACTATTTGTCCTTTTTCAGATCGACAACTTTGTCTCGAACATTTTTCCTAAAATTAAAAACAATAAAATTTTGAAAAGCATCGTTTCAAATGGAATACTCAATACACATGCACGCACGCACGCACGCACGCACGCACGCACGCACGCACGCACGCACGCACGCACGCACGCACGCACGCACGCACGCACGCACGCACGCAACGCA